CAGCCTCAGGGTGGCTGGGAAGTACTTCCACAGCCTCAGGGTGGTTGAGAAATAGTTCCACAGCCTCAGTGTGGTTGGGAAGTACTTCCACAGCCTCAGGGTGGTCGGGAAGTACTTCCCACAGTCTCGAGGGTGGTCGGAACTACATCCACACCTAGGGTGGTCGGAAGCACTCCCACAGTCCTCGAGGGTGGTCGGGAAGTACTTCCATAGCCTCAGGTGGGAAACCCTCCACAGCTTGGGGCGGAAAGTTAGAATACACATTTAGTTACGTAAATTATCACAGCCTCAGGGTGGCTGGGAATACTTCCACAGCCTCAGGGTGGTTGAGAAATAGTTCCACAGCCTCAGTGTGGTTGGGAAGTACTTCCACAGCCTCAGGGTGGTCGGGAAGTACTCCCACAGTCTCAGGGTGGTCGGGAAGCACTCCCACAGCCTCAGGGTGGTCGGGAAGCACTCCCACAGTCTCGGGGTGGTCGGGAAGTACTTCCAGTCTCAGAGTGACCAGGAAGACCTTGGCGAAAACGTGTAGAAGACAAATTCTATACTTAACTTTAACAGCTGGTACAACAGTTGGTATAACAGCTGTTAAAACAGGATTTACGAAGCCAGGAGGGAGCAAATATGGCAGAAGAAAGTAGAAAGGGAGTTGAGAGAGAGAGCAGAAACTTTGCCTGAACCACTAGAAGTAATCTTGAAAAAACTCAATTGACAAATGTCAACTACAATACGTGTGGAAGACAGCAGCTGTAATGCTAATATTTAGTACATTGGGCAGACAGGTAGCGTTAAACTACTGGTTAGAATCACTGTCAGGTATAATATGTAACTAAAGTGCCATCAACACTTGTCAGTGCTCAGTAATAATCCACGTGGAGACAAAAACTCAGGAGGCTAATTGATATTTATATTTCGACCCCCTTCTGCAATCCTCTACAACTGAAGAGGATCCCAGGAGGGGGTCGAAATATAGATAAATTAATCTCCTGAGTTAATGTCACCATGTGGGTTATTATTGAATATGCAAGTTTATGGTGAAGACGACCAGGTAGAGTGGTGGATCCTATGGAGAGGAGTTGGTTCATCATTGACAACCATCACAGCTTCAAATATGATAAATGTTGCATCATAAGGCCACTTAAGAGTTCAACAACCAAGAAACAGAAATAAGGCGGGAGGAGGAGGGAGGGAGAGAGAGAGAGAGAGAGAGAGAGAGAGAGAGAGAGAGAGAGAGAGAGAGAGAGAGAGAGAGAGAGAGAGGATGGATGAATTGCATATTTTTCACACGTAAGGAAACTACACAAGAGAGGGACAAAGGCTAATGGTTTAGACAGGAGTAACAGAGAAGGCACAACAGTGGATAAGAAATGTTTAATTGGTCGGGGTCCACTAGGATCACTACTGGGACTGCTACTATTTCTTGTTTAAGTGAACATGATGATGATGATGTGAAACATATAGGCAAGGACCAGTACGTGCTACGATGGATGTAAACAAGCTACAAGGACCAGTACCTGCTACAATGTTTGTAAACAAGCTACAAGGACCAGTACCTGCTACGATGAATGTAAACAGACTACAAACATGTTTGGTTTCGTAAGTTTATATTAGAAGTTAACTTCAGAAAAGTTATAAAGTTTGGAGACTGACAAAGAAAACCGCAAAATCATTTCGACACGTTTCCTTACACCTGTTGTCCTGTTCACCTAGCAGCAAATAGGTACCTGGGTGTTAGTCGACTGGTGTGGGTCGCATCCTGGGGGACAAGATTGAGGACCACAATGGAAATAAGTTAGACAGTCCTCGATGACGCACTGACTTTCTTCGATTATCCTGGGTAGCTAACCCTCCGGGGTTAAAAATCCGAATGAAATCTTATCTTAAAAAGAGTACAGGTTTAAAGTGGAAAAACTGCAAACCTGACTGGGAGAACCTCGGGGTAATTAGCCGAACAGATTACCCGAGGAGCACTTCAACTAAATAGTGCTACAGAAAACAACACGCCTCAGGCAAATCCAATATTTGCGTTTAGATACGGTAGCAAGAATCATTGACTACAAACATACATTGTTGGAACCATATTAGTACACTCAGCACCAGTCACAGACACACTTTATGAAACTGGAGAAAGTATACAGGTTTACAACGAGATCTGTTTTGGAATTAGAGTGTACGAATTTTGATTTTTTTTTTTTTCAATTTTTTTCTTCCTACAAACTTTCGCTTGTAACTTGACATTGTTATTCAATCGGCTTCAAATTTTCAACACTTGTTTAGTATACATGAGGAAGAGTTCTTGTAACTATTGGCAGGTGGAGAAGCGCTATAATCAAAGCAAGATAGTTCATACCTGATACTTCGTGTTCCGTGTTATAATCCAGTTAAGTCTACTCAACATTGTATCAATCACATCTGCTAGAATAATGACAGGATGGATAATGAGAACCTTCAAAACTAGGGAGGCCAAGCCCATGATGACACTCTTCAGGTCGCTTGTTCTATCTAGGCTGGAATATTGCTGCACACTAACAGCACCTTTCAAGGCAGGTGAAATTGCTGACCTAGAAAATGTACAGAGAACTTTCACGGCGCACATAACGGAGATAAAACACCTCAATTACTGCGAACAATTGAAGTTCCTCAACCTGTACTCCCTGGAACGCAGGCGGGAGAGATGCATGATTATATACACCTGGAAAATCCTAGAGGGACTAGTACCAAACTTGCACACGAAAATCACTCCCTATGAAAGCAAAAGACTCAGCAGACAATGCAATATTCCCCCAATAAAATGCAGGGGCGCCACTAGCACGATAAGACACAACAAAAGTGTCAGAGGACCAAGACTGTTCAATAGACCCCTGGCTGTCTTCAAGAAGGCACTGGACAGGCACCTAAAGTCAGTACCTGACCAGACGGGCTGTGGTTCGTACGTCGGGTTGCGTGCGGCCAACAGTAACAGCCTGGTTGATCAGGCCCTGATCCACCATGAGGCCTGTCACAAACTGGGCCACGGGAGCGTTGACTCCTGAAACCCTCTCCAGGTATACTCTGATCTTCATTTAATAAAGAAGAATCGTAATTATAAGATGATTGGCATTATATTCGTTGTTTGGGTGTCATTCTACCGGAGTTATGGCTAAAACTGTGTGAATTTGTCTTCGATCAATCATGTAGATATACTCAGTTATATCTACATGATTGATCGAAGACATAATGAAGCCGGTCAGTGAGGTATACTCAGTTATACCTCACTGACCGGCTTCATTATGCAATGGCTATTGTGTCTAATGAATGGGATAGTATCCATTCTATCCTCCACACCCACTTCAGTTCTAACATTCACCCCACATCAGTCTTGCTCCGCCTCCCACATTCATTCCACCTCCCACATTCATTCCACCTCCCACATTCACTGTAATGTAGAACTAACTCTCATTCACTTTTTCACTAATTCCACCTCTACAGGTCACCTAACCAAGGAACAATCAGAGTAAGGAGTCATTCACGACACTATGTGGCAAAATCCAGGCCCATATTCGAGCACGCAGAACCAGTATGGAACCCACACCTGATTATGTACGTCAGATTACTAGCAAAAGGGTAGAGATTTTCAACGAAACTAGTCCCAGAGTTCAGAGGCAAGCAAGTGCAGAGAGGAGAGAATCAAAGTTAAACCTGGTGACATTAGAGGAAAAAATAGAGATTATATGAAAATAACGAAAAAATACTGAGAGGAATTAATAGGGTGGATAGGAACAGACAGTTGGAGAGGCGGGAAACAGGTACAAGAGGGCACAGCCGGAAGTTTAAAACACAGACGAGTCACAAAGATGTCAGGGCCTGGGGAGGGAAGTGGTAGAGGAAGGAACTATAGTATATAGTTTTAGGAAGAGGTATGATAAGTTTCTCGAAGACAGGAGCTAAGACTAGACCCCTGCAACCACGTATAGGCGAGTACATATGAGTGAGTACTTAACTTCCACACACAACCTTCCACTTACTCCACTACACACACCGCTACCTACACTAGCTCCACTACTCATGCTCACACCTTCCTTATTCACTCCTCTCACACTCGCTTTACATCCCACTCTCACTCGCTTTTCATCCCACTCTCACTACCTCCACTCCACCTCCACTCCATCTCCATCTCCTCTTCAACCTCACATTCACACTCACTCAACCTCCAAACACACCTCTCACATTCTCCCCACACCTACTCACTCCCAACCTCCCATAACCTACAACACCTCCCCACAATACTCCATCTCCCACACCTACTCCATCTCCCACACCTACTCCATCTCCCACACCTACTCCATCTCCCACACCTACTCCATCTCCCACACCTACTCCACTTCCTTCACTGCTACTCCTTCCATCAACTCGACACCCACACTACCCTCCACACTCCCAACTCCCACTTCACTCCAAGACTCCTCCAACATTCCACCTGCTGCCAGTCACTCCAATATTTCAGTTGATGCTAGTAATGTATAGGCATTTTGTCATCAGGAACAATGAAAAATATATCTGGTGACTCCACTGCTGTTATTTCCTTATTCATTCATTCATTCACTCGTCTGATCCAACCACTCTTTAAACTCTAAATCTCCCCTGGCTTTATTCGCCCTAAGTGAGTTTCACGAAGCCTTTTGGAGGGTGGAAGTGATCTAACTCAGTGCGCAAAGCTCGTCTTATCCCAGTCATAATCTACCTTTTATCAGTCCCACCAATATTGCTTTCTCAAAGTTTCCTTCACGCGAGCATCCATGCCAACTTTAATATACCTCGCCCCATCTTACTGGGAAGTCCTCAGCCTTGCCTTTCCGAAGTTCTGCCGTGTATTATCGTCTCTGTTGCTCAGCTGGCTTATGTCTCCACTTGTGCCCCAGCTACTTCCTTCCCCATGTAACGTCCCCATTCCTCTCGTCCCCCAATTGTCACTACCTATCCTCTTATGCTCAGATTCCTCCTGATCCTCAGAGTAGACTTACCTGAGAGCTGGCTTGTAACATGGGTCTAGGAGATCTGGGATAGGTGTTGTACACATTGCTGGGATAGGGGACGGAGGCACAGATGTGGACGCTGCCGAAGCCACCTTCCTCTGGAGTAGTGGGACTTTTGTTCTCACTTTCACCGTGACCTGCACCAAACAACAGTTTGTTGAAGTTAGCAAATTACTAGCAAGTAATGACAGAAAGACAAAGTTATATGATCCCTGTCTTCATACAAGTCTTAAAAACAGATATATTTATATTGTATAACAGGATAACACACGAGCTAGAGAATGGACTTTCTAAACATGCTTCTAATAAAAGTGAATGCACATTTAAGATGTACTAGTTATGTCGCCTGAGTGGTTAGTTTGTTGTGCTGCCGTAGCTCATCCTGAGTACATCCTATGAGCATAGCATCTAGACCGTAGCTCATCCTATGAGCCGTAGCTCATTTGAGCAGTAGCTCATCCTATGAGCAGTAGCTCATCCTATGAGCAGTAGCTCATCCTAGGAGCAGTAGCTCAAAAGATTACAGAGGTCACAATGAGTCTTAGACTCCACTGAACACTGCTGCATCTTTACAGATATTAGTCGTTTTACATAGCTAATCTATACAACTGTAATTAATTAAGCAAAAGATATTTACACATAACAGCATAACAAATAGTAGTGAATGTTAGGAAGGAACTTGCATGAACACAATAAAACATATAAGGTCTATTTTAATTTTGTTGATTAGTTCCTCAATACACACATACAAGACTTATCTTATGTGTTATTGTATCCACTACGAAAAATTGTGTTACAGTGATTTACCTTTCAAATACAAGCAACTTACCATTGGCGGGGATTAGGTCAGGATTCTTGTCGTCAAGGTCTCGAGTATTAGTCAAGGACTTCTGCAGTGTCAGTGTGACAGTCTTTCTTCTTGAACGTCGCTTTTTCTTGAAACTGAGCACAACTACTGCCACCAGAGCCACCAGCACCAGCGACCCCACCACTCCCACCACCACCTCCAGTATTGGAGTAATGGACACCAGCTCCTCAGGAGGAGGACGGACCTGAGCCGTACGTCTCTCTGCTACGTCCTTGATGGTGTAGCCGGTAAGGTACCGCTTCTCACTTGGACCTCTGTCGTTGGCAGCATAAACATGCATAACATATGTGGTTCCAGACTGAAGCCCTCGCAGGGAAAAGCTCGGGGCAGTGTTTTCCGTAATGTTGAGTAGCAGACGTTTACTCTCAGCCTCATAAGCCTCGATAATGAATTTTTGCTGGAGGCCTCCATCGTAGCCAGGGAGGCAGTGCACTATCAGGTTCTCTGTTGTATGATTAGTAAGGTTGCACTTCTCAGGAGGGTTGGGTTTGCCAGCAGCCACTACTTTGTAAGCGCATGGTTTTCTCTGCTTACCCAGGGCATTGGTACCCCAGCAGAGTAACGTGCCATAGTCCAGTTCAGTGCGAGCAACGTACGATAACGAGGACTGGAGTCCCTGCGTTGCCACGTGATTCTCTGCAATGTCGACTACATCGCCGCTGCTGTTAAATCTCCAGAAGAAATGAACATTGGAAGGCACGGCGTCCAGACGGCAGGTGATGGACACCTCCTCGTTCCTGGCAGCACCATAGACGTGGACCTGCCCGGACGCACACACTGGGGCGTCTGGTGGTAAACAAGTTTTCTTAGGGTAAACAAATAAATTTTATTAAATAACAACATTGTTAGTTAATAAAAAAAAACTCAACCTGTGGGGGTTATTCACCAAGTAGTGGTAGAGGTTCGATCCTCCGTCTGTTGTGGCAAACCTCTGAAAACAAGAGTCAGTAGTTTACAATCATTGCTATGTAAATTTCAGAGACAAAAATGTATAATTGGTCTTTTTTATTATTACAATAGTGTTATGTCAAGTTTTCCTAGGTTGCCTCGGCTTTAATGTGGTTCTGGAGAACATAAGTAACACGGTGTTGCTTCATTAAGTACGTTGATTGTTTGAAGAAAGTATGAAATAGAGATTTCACTGAGATTTTGAAGAACGATTAAATATTAAATCTTCATATTAGGTAATAAAATGGTTCGTTCTGGTAATCAACAACTGATTAACTAATTTTTGTTTATTCATTTGCTTTCGATACTATATATTTCTTGCGTTATTTGAAGAGAATTTATTCATCTATCTGAGAGAAGTTACACTCACTCCTGATCCAATATTTCTTCTATGCTCCAGGATTCAGTTATTTGCTAACTCAAGTACCCAAAACTTTTACAACTGGTGCTCAGATTGCACCATTTAGTGATTAACCACTACTTAACACTCTCCTAATTTTTTCTTAGACCACAAACTCTCCTAATTCTTGTTGACACTGCTATGAACTAACAACTTAAGAGCATAAGATTACTGGGGTTCTGCAGTAGAGTTACTGACCCAAGCAACGCAGGTTCACCTTTCATCCATATCTACCTAATTTCTCTGGCCCTTCTTAACCTGACTTCCACTAGTGGATCTACCCACATATAACCTCTCCAGCAGTGCTGGTTACACCCTCGTGGGCCATTACCTCTCCAGCAGTGCTGGTCCCACCCTCGTGGGCCATTACCTCTCCAGCAGTGCTGGTTACACCCTCGTGGGCCATTACCTCTCCAGCAGTGCTGGTTACACCCTCGTGGGCCATTACCTCTCCAGCAGTGCTGGTTACACCCTCGTGGCCATAACCTCTCCAGCAGTGCTGGTTCACCCTCGTGGGCCATTACCTCTCCAGCCAGTGTGGTTACACCCTCGTGGGCCATTACCTCTCCAGCAGTGCTGGTTACACCCTCGTGGGCCATTACCTCTCCAGCAGTGCTGGTCTCACCCTCGTGGGCCATTACCTCTCCAGCAGTGCTGGTACACCCTCGTGGGCCATTACCTCTCAGCAGTGCTGGTTACAACCCTCGTGGGCCATTACCTCTCCAGCAGTGCTGGTTACACCCTCGTGGGCCATTACATCTCCAGCAGTGCTGGTTCACACCTCGTGGGCCATTACCTCTCCAGCAGTGCTGGTTACACCCTCGTGGGCCATTACCTCTCCAGCAGTGCTGGTTACACCCTCGTGGGCCATTACCTCTCCAGCAGTGCTGGTTCACCCTCGTGGGCCATTACCTCTCAGCAGTGCTGGTACACCCTCGTGGGCCATTACACTCTCCAGCAGTGCTGGTTACACCCTCGTGGGCCATTACCTCTCCAGCAGTGCTGGTTACACCCTCGTGGGCCATTACCTCTCCAGCAGTGCTGGTCCCACCCTCGTGGGCCATTACCTCTCCAGCAGTGCTGGTTACACCCTCGTGGGCCATTACCTCTCCAGCAGTGCTGGTTACACCCTCGTGGGCCATTACCTCTCCAGCAGTGCTGGTTACACCCTCGTGGGCCATTACCTCTCCAGCAGTGCTGGTACACCCTCGTGGGCCATTACCTCTCCAGCAGTGTGGTTACCACCTCGTGGGCCATTACCTCTCCAGCAGTGCTGGTTACACCCTCGTGGGCCATTACCTCTCCAGCAGTGCTGGTTACACCCTCGTGGGCCATTACCTCTCCAGCAGTGCTGGTTACACCCTCGTGGGCCATTACCTCTCCAGCAGTGCTGGTCCCACCCTCGTGGGCCATTACCTCTCCAGCAGTGCTGGTTACACCCTCGTGGGCCATTACATCTCCAGCAGTGTGGTCCCACCCTCGTGGGCCATTACCTCTCCAGCAGTGCTGGTACACCCTCGTGGGCCATTACCTCTCCAGCAGTGCTGGTTACACCCTCGTGGGCCATTTACCTCTCCAGCAGTGCTGGTTACACCCTCGTGGGCCATTACCTCTCCAGCAGTGCTGGTCCCACCCTCGTGGGCCATTACCTCTCCAGCAGTGCTGGTTACACCCTCGTGGGCCATTACTCTCCAGCAGTGCTGGTTACACCCTCGTGGGCCATTACCTCCCCAGCAGTGCTGGTTCCCCCCTCGTGGGCCTTTACCTCTCCAGCATGTGGTTACCCCTGGGGGCCTTTTTCCCTCCGCTGCTTTTCCCCTCGTGGGCCTTTACCTCTCCGCATTGCTGGTCCCCCCCTCGGGGCCATTACCTCTCCAGCGTGCTGGTCCCCTCGGGGGCCATTACTCTCCGCAGGCGGCCCCCCCTGGGGCCATTACCTCTCCAGAGTGCGGTTCCCCCTCGGGGCCTTTCCCTCTCCAGCAGTGCTGGTTCCCCCTGGGGGCCCTTACCTCTCCAGCAGTGCTGGTTACCCCTCTGGGCCTTACCTCTCCAGCAGTGTTTGGGCCCACCCCGGGGGCCATTACCCCCAGCGTGCGGTTACACCTCGTGGCCATTACCTCTCCAGCATGCGGGTTCCCCCCCCGGGGCCTTACCTCTCAGCAGGGGTTACACCTCGTGGGCATTACCTCTTACTACGCAACTATTATGACTCGGGAAATCGAAATGATCTAATTTAATTATACTTAATAAAAAAAGTTTGTTTAATTATACCTGAATTAAGGAATACCGGATTTCACCTTACAAAACAGACAAACAAATGTTAGTAATTATTCCCGGTGGTTATAGGGGAAAAAAAGATCATTTATAGAAAAGGAAGAACTTAGGTGCCTTTATGGCTGAGCATCTAGGGCCGGGAGGTCCCCCCTGACCGGTTTAAAGTAATAATGGCACTCCCTTTAGGGGCGGATGATGCAAAAAATTTAGTTCAGTAGCAGCAAATTGGAAATTTTTTCTGAAATTAAAAAAAAAAAGGGATCGTCGTTTCAGAAAGAAACGCTAAGCCACAAGGGGTTAAGCCTGCGGGGAGGGAAAGGGAATGGGGTATTTGGCGGCCCCCCCGGGGGGGAGGGATGATCTAGGTTTCAGAAAACAGGAGGCAGGGGGAAATGCAGGGTAAGGGGTACAAGAGATTTAAGAAAAGGGCTGAAGGGATCATCAGAGGTTTTTTTTTAAGTAAGTCAGTGTTGTCAAAAAATCATGAGAGTCTCGGTGAAGGTGGGTCATCAGCGGAAGGGGGAAGGTAAAAAAGAGCAGCGGGGCGAAGACATGACGGGGTAAAATTTTGCGTGGGCCCTTGATAAAGTGGGCAGTCCAACAGAATGTGACTGACTGTAATGGGAACCCGACAATTCTCACAGAGGAGGGGGGCCCCCTCCATGGATATCCATGAGTAAGACGAGTTGGCCAATTGAAAACGGGAGAGAGGGAGTCTCCCAACCTCACACGGTGACAAGAAGCGGCCCTAACCCATACTCGGTTTTAATAGATTGAAGTTTTTTACCCAAACATAGTAACCAACGTTTTTGCCAACGGGTGTGAAGGGGGGTAGCATTCAGCAAAAAGTCCCTAAAAGGAAAACCTCTATATGAAAACTGGGAAAATCATGTATGCTGACCGGGCAGTGTCTGCCTGTTTTGCCCTTATTTAAAATGACCAGGGACCCAACAAAAACAATATCTTTTTGCTTTGGGAAAAAAAGAGATGCCAAAATTGGATCGGAGGACTAAGGGAAGGGGTATCAAAAATTTTTTGATAGCCTGTAAACCTAAGGGAGTCTGAGCAACCACAAATGATACCAGGGGAAGATGCAAAACGAAAATGCTGAAAAAATGGCATACAATTCAGCAGTAAAATACTAGCCCAAGATGTAAATGCCTCGACACGGTCCCCAAAAAACTCTGCGATCCTACGCCGTCAGAAGATGGAGCCATCTGTGTTAAATGCAAAGGAGAGAAGAAGTGGGAAATGGTCAAGAAAAAAAAAGTGGGGGCGACCGTAGACAGTTGGGCTTTCGAGCAAGGGGAGAGAAAGAACAACTCGAACCTGGGAAATTCCCCGGGGGGGAGGGGAAAAATGAGATGAATAACATAGAAAGGTGGTAATTGAAAAGAAGACAAGGCGAATGACGAAAAAGGGGAAGGGACGGAGTAAAGGGGGGGGAACAAAAAAAAGAATTTTATAAAACGGTGACCCTTCTATAAATGGGAAGGGTTCGGGATCTGAGGCGTACATAGAGCGAAGGCAATGGGCATCACGGCGATCGGAAAGGATGGAAAGTTCGCTTCTGCATGGGCTCCAAAAGGGGGGAAAGGAAAAGCAAAAGGGGATAAACGTAACCTCGTGATGAAAAGGGGGTTAGGTAGAAGGGGGCGGAGAGGCCCCTAATAGATTTTCACCAAGTTGCCAGAATGTTTTTCCCTTAGATAAATCGTCGATGAGGTCGCTCCTAGCCAGAAGGGACAAAATGTGTGATATATTATCCCTCAAGCAGCACACATAGCAGGGATGGTGCAGAGGCTAAGTATCTCAGAGGTAAAACATGCTCTCTGGACACTTGGTTTCGAGTTGCGGGAAGAAGATTGTGTACACAGTGTTGATAAGATGTTGATAGAACCTTAAAGTCAGATAAAAGTGAAGGCTCTTGAGTCTGGTAACTCCAGATGTGTCTGACGTGCAGTAAATATATAATGTTAAAATATTAATCGCAATTGCAGTATGTTTTTTATGAAACAATGTTTTTGTCTATGGATAACTAAGAACTGGTTTGGTTAATTAGTTACATATGCAGTAGGCTATAGGAAATGGGAAATAAAAAGCATAATGACGTGACTGGAGAAGTTTACAAATTACCAGTAATTGGCAGGGTCGCCATTTGGAGAAGACCGGGGGGGGGCAGTACCGGCGGACCTCGTACAATACCAGCCGTTATACTACTGCTAACTCTTCTCGTTCTACCAGTCCCGTCCCCAACTTTTCAGTCATATATATACTGGCTGCCGTCCCTTCACTCTTCTGTGCCACTAACTCATGGTCCAAGAAGGACCGAAACGTTGT